CCCCAAAACCCCAAAACCCCAAAACCCCAAAACCCCAAAACCCCTTAAAATTTTATTTTTATTGAAAATGGAGATAATTAGTCAATCTGAGGTATATGAAGAGGACAGGCATAATAAGATATATGATCATGAAAGTCATCAACTTGGTAGGCCTCTCTAATTAATTTCTTGACTTCTCCTAAAAAATTTAAGTCCACACTAAATTGTATCTCCAACTAAAGCATATGTGATAATCAAAATTTCTTCTATTCAAAAGAAATTTAATTTTGAAATTCAGGTTCTGATTTGGACTTGAGTCGGACGCCACATGAGTCTATCACCGTAAGCCATGGTAGTGAATCAAGAGTTCCTGGTCAGAAGACCACAGAGCAGCATAAATCACAGAGTTTAGGTAACTATTCATCTCAATAGTGTAGCTTCAAGTAGTTCCGGGTCTCATAAACAGAAACTTGAAGGTATTTCTTTATCACTACTTTAGGATTGAAATAGCAAAATGTCTGTAGTTGGGTCGATGACTAGAAAACATGAGAAAGTCATTTACAGAGCCTTTGCTGTTGCTATAATTGATCAGGAGCATATTCCTCTAGCATTGAATCAGATCTCAATGAAAGATGACAAATTCATTCAAGCAAAGAACGTGGTCATGGCTTTTCGGATAAACTCACCTGAAGAGGTCCTTGTTAGGTAAGTCCCATAAACCATCCATAGATCCAAAGATGGCAATGATATTGTCGAAGGCTTTGATAATGGAGATCTCGAAGGCTGAGGAGAAAAATTACTACATTTATTACAGAGAATCTCTGTAGAAAATATACTTATAATCATAGCTATCAGCTATTTTGGCTTGAAAGGATCTCTTCAAATCGGATCTTACTCTCACTGAATTAATATTGCAAGGGATCTACTAACTTCCTTGCATAACAAAGCTCTTGACTTTGAGCAAAAATCTGAAGCTGAAGGTGAAGATGATGAGGTTTTAGATGTTGAGGATGAACTTCAAGGTAATTTGAAAATTAATTTCTTAGGTGTTGGCAATAAGATTCATCTTGTAGCAGGAGGAGAGCCATACAGAATCTCACCATTTAAGGCTACTTCAAACAGACATAGCATACTGCAAAATCAGAGGAAGAGAATAAGGACTAGCCATAATAGAATAAAAGTCAGCTCAAATTATCCTTTGCAAGATCTATATTCCCCTCAATCAGTGACGGACAACGAAAACTCAGTAGCTAGCATTCCTAAATAGGGCTACAATGTCTCCTTATTTTGGTCAGCAGCAAGACATTGATCAAAGCCAGGTTATCCCTAGAGTTTTTAACTTTCCAGAATTTATGAACAAAAATCATCGATACACTAAAAGGCCAAATACTTATTTCGCAGAGTTGGCTGCAGCAAATAGCAAATTCTCTAATACATCCAGAAGACAGAGACGTCGGAAAAATGGGAAGAACAGCACTGGTATTCATCTAGAAGGTAACCATCCTAAGTTCACTAGTCTAGCTCATGGAAAAATGATGCAATATAATATGAACGGAGACTTGAATTTACACCAACCTGGAGCCTTCTCTTCTGATGCACGTCAAAGGTACTCTGATATGTAATTCTGTTTAGGTCAAGTTATGGGCAAAGTTTCAGGATGACCCAAGCAAGTAAGCCTGGCCCATCTAACCTTTAGACTACACAGGGATAAATCACCAAAGAAGAGTACTGAAGTTATCTAAAATATAGTTAGCGTCGTATTCAATGAATAGGAATAAGCTGAACAAGACTACGAATATTATAAACCCGCATTTGCCAAGAATTTCAGGTATTTCTAGCTGCTAAACTTCAGATCAATCTCCGTTTTCACCACTGAAATCCTCTACTAATGAGATCATCACTGAAGAGGTGAAGTCCCCTGCAGAGAAATAAGATAATTTAAAGATGTTAAACGGAGATATAAGAAAAAAGAAGAGACTTTGAAGCGTAAAAGTATCGAAGCCCATCGCCTCGCCAAAATTCAGAGGAAATCTGACCTTGAAGGTCTTGAAATATCAAAGGACCAGGTATTTCACTCTTTTCATAAATAGCCAAAGCTTAAGGTTGTGAAAAAACCAGTTTTTACATGAATTCCTAAAAGAAAGGCAGAGCCTAAGCCAGGAAATTTCCTACAGCCGAAGAGATTGATTCTGACAGATTATAAAGTTCTGGGTATGTTCTCTGCTAAGCTTTAGTTCCCTCTGCAAAAGCAGCTCCCACTGTATCTGTCTTTAACATTCATGACAACCTTCCTAATAGTGATTCAAGAGAGCATCTGGATGAAGTAGAAATCCCTGATATTGATTTGACTAACTACGACAACGCCTCATTGGGATTCGTCCTTAATGCTGAGGTGGAAAAACCAAAGTTCCGTATTCAGGACGTCAAGAGAATGATGGACGAAGTTCCTAACGATATCCATAAGCTTGAAGACTATATTGATCATGTTGAGCTTGACGATAAACCGACCAATGTTCTCGTCAAGTTGGCAGAACAGTGAAAGAAAAGGAGAAGAAAGCTGTATAAAGATCTCAAAAATCCAGATAGGTAAGCCAGACCAAATTTCTTTGCTCATATATTTGTATAGTAGTTCTGAAAGTAGTAATGAAAGTCAAGAAGATGAAATGATTGCTAACTTCAAGTCCTATCGGATTCAAAATAAATATTAATCAATTCAGTTTTATGAAAATGAAAGGGGTTTTGGGGTTTTGGGGTTTTGGGGTTTTGGGG